AAATCCGCAATTACTTAGTTGCCGACCCAATATATGACCTGTACTCAGCAAACTACAGGACATTGAAAAAAGAAATAGAGTAAGACATAAACAAATGGAAGAACATACCATGTTCATGGGTTAGTAAAATCAAAATTATTAAAATGTCAATACTACCCAAAGCAATCTACAGAGTCAATGCAATGCCCATTAAAATACCAGTGGCATATTTCAAAGATCTAGAACAAACTCTCACCAATCACTATCACCACAGCTGTGCAGATAGAACCAACCTTGTTAGCAACACTCAGTATGGGACTGTCTGAGTAATGTCCCCACAGCTAAAAACTTTGCCACTTTCCCTACAGAAAGCTTATCTTACTAACTTAAGTAGTGAAACAGCAGAATGTGAGTTTAAACCACTACTAGCAAAGAAGAAGACTCTAATAAATAGCTTTGGAATAGTCCTTATGTTTCAGAAAAGGTGTGAGGCACATCAACGTCATTTTTATTTACTTCAGCCAGTAAGTAGTCATTACTATGCTTACTTTGTACTTTTAATAAATATTTATTGAACATTTATTATGTATCAGGATGTTTTCTAGATGCTGGTCATATTGCAGTAAACCAAAACAAAAAAGACAAAAAGATAGAAAATCATTAATCATAAAGGTTAAAGACAAAATAAATAAAATAATGAGTAAAACCTAAAGAATTAATTGGTGATAAGTGTTTTCTGGAGAAAAACAAAGCAAGAAATGATAGAAAGAAAATGAAAAGGGAGAAAGGAGAAAGGAAGTTATAATTCAAAACACCATGACCCCCTGATATGCTTTCTGAGCAGACCTGGAGGAAGGCAAGGAGGTACCACATGCATATCTGGGAAAGAGGATTCCAGACAGGTGCCAAGTGTCAAAGACCTGAGGTAGCTATGTGTCTGGATGCCACAGTGGCTGGAGCAGAATGACGGGTGTGTGTGTGCGTGTGTGTGCGTGTGTGTGTGTGTGTGTGTGTGTGTGTGTGTGTGTGTGTAGTGATAATAGCTGAGTTGAGAATAAAAAGGAGGCCTGATCCTGATGGAGCCCTAGGGGCAAAAAAGGGCTTTCTTTGTGGCTTCCTTTGAGCATGATGGGGAATCACTGGAGGTTTTAAGCAGAGGAGCTTAGAGTAAGAAAAATAATGGCTCAGGCCAAAGCCCTGGACCTCTTTCTCCTGTCACCTCTGAGTCAAAACTGATTTTGTTAAGGGTGAACATCTGACTCCAAAGAAACTAAGCCAATCACTGATGGATCCAATCAAAATTAATCCCCTCTCCAAAATCTGAACTAAATAAATATAAGAGACAAAATTAGCCAGTGTTGTGACTTAATGAAAAAGTGATGCAGAGTCAAGTTTAAGACAGTTACTTCTGTTTGTGTAAGCAGCTAGTTGGTTATTAACAAATGAAGATAGCATATAAAATCAGATATTAAGCCAGATTAACTAGGAAGGAGCAGCTTCACAATCATTCCAGGCATCTGAGTGGACAGGAAAGATTGGCTTTCCGATCTATCCAAGGAACAATAGGCTGTTCCACAGCTGAGACATGCTCAGCAGAAGCCAGATGAGGGGGCAAAACTATGAGGCTTTTGCAGTAGGAGCCAAAATAGTGACCATAAAGGGAGGAGTCTAACCTGGGAAAATATGAGAAAAAGAACAGGTAGGATAAAGGCACAAAACCCCAGAAGATCCAGGAAAGCCTGCTTGCTCTCTCCCCAGTCCAAAGAAAAATAATCAAAGCTTAACAAAGACAGAGGGGGCACTCTCTCTCCATTCAGCCTCAATGGCCTGGGTGTAGCAAGCGCAGTGGCAGGCCAAAGCATAGCATGGAAAGTGGGCCAGAGAGGAACGAGACTAAGCTAGACTACTGAAGTTTCAGATGCTAATGCAGGGGTAATGGCATAGCATCTCTGGACCACAACCCTCCTCCTGAGCTCAGTAAGGACAAGTGTGGGTCTGCAGCCATAGAGGATGGACATCTGCCGCAATTTGGAGCTGAGCCACCTGGTCATGTCATCACCTGGTCACAGTGATGACAGTGTGGCATCCTCTTCAGGGGTATCTTATGTCCTGTGTGCCCCTCCAATAAATCTTATCATGGCACCTCATACCCCTAAAAGCATGTATCCTTGAAATGCATTTCCCACCTTACCATGAAGAATCCTATTACTTCCAGCAAAACTTTCCTGATTCAAAAAACCAGAAGTGAAACTGAAAATTAATGCTGTAGAACAGCAGGAAGGAACAGAGGCAGGATGAGATAGCCCCTGAAGGGCAGGGAAGGAGAGAAAACCTGTTGATTTCATTATACAGCCTGAAGTACTCCCATTCTAGAGGACAAGAGATCTAGGGGCCCAGGACTTCCCAATAAATCTCCAGCCTTGGCCTCTTTGTGTAGATTTCTTATCCTCATAGTAATTAAAATCCCTGGCTTAGGCAGGCAGTAAACTATATTTTAGTCTCAACTACTACATGGCGTTAAGGATTAAACCAGCTAAAGTGACTCCTGAGAGAAAGGGGCAGAAGGGCAATTGGATGCTATGGCCTTTCACCCAACTCTGGCTTCCCACAAAGTGCTCTTATAATTCAGCAAGGTGCAATTCTATTACCTCACCCTCATTTTTAATTTCCTAATGTCAGTATCAATAGAAAAGCTTTTAGCATAGCCTATAAGGCTAAATATATTTAGTGAAATTAAGTTATTGTTACTCTTTTAAAATAAAATTAATTAAGCTGTGAAATATTTGCTTTGGGTTTAGTAGGTGCTGGGTGTTTGAAGGTCTTGGAAGCTCTCTTACCACAGGCAGGTTCCAATCTTCTTTCTTTATGGGAAACAGGGCCAAGGTTAACTGCTATCTACCTCACCTCCACACCCCCACCCCCATTTCCTCTTGGGCAGTAAGCCAAGAGAATACAGGAGAAAAGCAGAGATTAGTGCATCTCTGTCAACTCTTTAGGAAATGTTCTACTTTTCTAAGTCTAGGGTACACAAGAAAAGGAAAGCATTATTACACAGGGTCTGGTTACATCTGTCTGCATGCAGGCTGACTCTCAGCCAATACAAGTGAGAGAAATTAACTTGAAACACAGGCAGACAGGGCAGGGGTCCAATGGGAAACAAAGGTAGGGCAGACACAGCAGCTTGAGCAAGCCTAATCACAGAAACCAATCATGCTGAAATAATGGAATGTTTTTGGACACAACGTGGGAGGCATGGGAAGCCAAGGAAAAGCCTGCAGCAACAAGGTGTACTGATGCATAGGAACAAAGAAAAGAGAAAGTTCAGGTCCACGGCTGGGCAATAAAAATGAAGGAATCAATCAAGTGGCCACACAGGTAGATATAAAGCAGGCTTGTAGCAAATATATACCCCTGGACTACAAGGCTTCACGGGCAGCCCATTATTAGGTCCCCCTCCCCTTGTGGGGAGTCTGAATCTGTTTGTAATAAATTTTCCACACCTTTGCTTACATTTTCTGGTCTCTGGAGCTTATTTTTCAGCGTGGTGAGACGACCCAGGGGGAAAAAACCTCTGCTCACTGTTCAGATTATCACAAGCAGCAGCCACCAGAGAGTTGGTCTGCAGTGCTGTACCCACCATGAAGAATCCCACAACTGTTCATCCTTAGGTTGTTAGCAACAAGACCCCAATATACGCTAATCTCCTGCTAAGCTACCAGTTTACCTAATAGGATAGGTGAAGACTTCTGTAGTTACAATGACTGACAAGTATGTACCATTCCTATAGAACTCAAAAGACATGAGTTAACTGATCCACCCTTTCACCCTGAAGACAAGAATACACTTCAGATATTCTCTCAACATCTTTGCAGAAACTGAGGAAGCCGCAGGGATGAAAAATCTTACCTTCATGCTAATAAATCTAAGCAATGAGGCATTATTAGGTCAGTCAGGTCTAAATTTCATAAGAATTAAAGGTAAAAAAAATCCCTACCAAATCCACCAGCAATAGCTTCAAAATAAATAATTTCTTCACGGTATAAATCTTAGTACTAATCTCATCCATGGTTTCACCCAACTTTCTTACTCTTCTTTTTTCTTCATTGCAATTTCTCTATATAAAAATTTCAACCCTGTTGTTTTTTAAGAACATGTAAACCTGTAGGATAACAAGGCTGAGCAATAAATTTTCTTCTCAATTGTGACATAAGAGCCTAAATCATCCAAATTGCCTAGTGATGAATGCCTATTTTAGTCATTAGGAGGAGGTTCGAGGAAAGAAGAAATTAACAAAGGCATGAATTAATGAATGAATAAATAAACAGGTTTCTGTTTCATTAGCAGTAGAGCACAGAGCTCTGTGTGAAAGAAATAAAGGGTCCTCAAGTGGCCTATAAACTTTCTATTTGACAATCATCTCTTCTAAGAGGCTCCAGGCAATGTCTGTCTGACTCCTCCAGGACAACTCATTATCTGATTTGTTCATAATGTAAAAGGTCAGTGACAATGGGTTCCATTGTCAAATCTACTTCCCAAATGATATTTCACCTACATAGTCCGCCTAAAGTTTTAAAAATCTAAGTAATAGTAAAGATTTTTATCTCTTGTTTGAGCCTGAAAGTGCAGATTCTAAGTTGTCTTTGAATATCTTAGAGACACATTATTTACAAAAAACAGAAAAGAGAAGGTAGCAATATACACTCCTTCCTATACATGTATTCATGTTAGATATATATTTATCCTGTGACTGTCATTAAAACTTTTGTAGGCATCAACAACAGGAAACCTAGACATTCATAGGGAGGGGGCAGCCTTGTCTTACCTGCATTTAAGGTTTCAACATTTATTGGTTTGTACAACTGACTTTTAAGGGGACTGTGGAACAGACTTTATACCCTCTTTTAGGAAAGGCCTATCGAATATCCAAAAGAGAAACTATAGTGTCCTTAGGATACCTGATAAGAGTCCCTGTGCACCACTCCACTCAACTACCGGATGGGCCGTCTCTGGAGGGCACTCACCAGAGTGACAATGGCACATTCAGCCGTCAGTTGAGCAGCACTGAACAGTGTCCGAACAAACCGGTAAATCTGCTTCTGTTCTGGGTTATGTTTGTCATAATCTGGTGGCACTTCGGATTTCTGGGGGGAAAAATATTTTCAGATAGCAGGCCACCCAATAAGAGCAAAAGAGAAATAATTAAACAATATAATGAAACACAAAAAGGAGAAGATTACCGAAAGAGGGTGAAGGTTTTCATCAAAAATATCTAAGAGCATCCTTCCATCTGGGTCTCTGGTGGGGAAAATGAATAGAAAACAGAGTTTACTTTGTGCAAGAATGAGTGTCCTTCAAAATAAAACAAAATATATTTTGATTCAACTGTTATTTGAAGAAAGAGAAGGCAGTGAATAAAAATTTGTTTTACTTAAGTACAGTATTAGATAATTTTTTGTCTATAAAATAATTATAAATTAACTTGTGTGAGAACTCAAATTTTTATTTTCTGAGTTTTCAAATGAACCAAATCTAAATTTAACAACTTGTGTGTTTTTTAAATTTATCTTTATTGTTGAAATTATAGATGTGATCCCTTTCCCCGCCATTCACTCCCTCATCCCGCCCCACCTAACATCTTGTTTCTTGAGCAAAGGCTGACAGATCTGCTTAAACTAGTAGTATGCTGTGGTTGACATAAGAGCCTAAATCAAGAAGTTCAAGAGGAAATTCAATGTATCCTAGAGATTAATCTGAAGTGTTTAACAACATGCAACTTAATAATTTCATTAATAAGAGTTTCACAATTTTGTATTGAAAAAACGAGGTGATGCATAGAAAAGCTCAACCTATAAACCTATAAAAATAAAAATAAAGTGGCTGTTGCTATCAGGCTAGAAAATGAGCCATGTAAAGTGGTGGCTTTCACTCTAAGCACAGTGCCTCGGTCAGCTGTCCTGCAGGGACTATTCATACCTCACCATAGACAGCTCTGCTTTTCATCTGTTGAATTTTGCCTAAAAACTTTTCTTTACAAACCATATTTGGAAACGTTTGCTTTTGGTAACAGCATATCATTTCCATAGTTTGTGCTTCCAGAGTCAATTAGGCTTGTGAATGGTATAAGACTCCAGACCTGTCCCTAATACACAGCCATGGTGGTAAACACTACAGTTTCTGCTCTATGAATTTACTGTCTACAAAAAAATAAAAGAGAAAGAAAGATCTTTAACAGAACAACTCAATTTGCATTACCAATTGTTTTTAAAGCTTTGGGCATTCATACCTGTGCTTATTTTCACTAGCCTGCAGGAACACAGGTAGCAAAGATTTAGATCAAGAGTGGGGAACTTCCAGCCCTCAGGCCTCGGCCCTGGAAATCCTTTGGTCTGGCCCTGCCAAGGCATTAGGGGTGAGTTAATTAAATGTTTGACCAAATATAGCAGGCTAATTTTTAAGATGATACTTTCATATGGTCCAGGAATGATGTTATAAATATCAAAAGGCCCTTGGCAGAAAAAAGGTTCCCCACCTCTGATTTAGATAAACGCCAGTAAAGACAGGTTCAACCAGGTAGGGCCTGATAGTGGAGTCTCAAAAAGCTGTCTCCTTCCGGTGCACGCGGTGACACTTCCTTTTATAAGAACCCCAGCTATGAGAAATGAGCCCATGCCTCACCTCACTGCCTCTGCAAGATTACTCAAGGTGCTACGGGAGAGACAAAGCCTGGCCCAATACCCCTCCTTCTTTGGGCTGTTCAGTCCTCTTCAATTTTTCTGATGAGTAAGACCCTGCAGCACTCTCAAGAAACATTCATCAGAAGTAATTTTAAAAATGAAAATGTAGCTTCAAAATATAAATGAGGATTAAGAATTTAAGCTAAAATGACTCCTCCGTGAAATGGATTTTCCTTTCACCTCCATTTAAAGCTATGTGTCTTAGCTGATCAGCATAATCTCTCCCAAGCTAATGGATCTATCACCAGCCCCAGAGGTGAGGCCAGTATGATTTATCAAGGAGAAAGTCTGCAGTTGGTCAATGCCACCTCATCCCAAGAAGGGTACAATCTGTATGTCAATCATGCTTGTTTACAAATGCTCACTTTTTCAGTTGGGACTTTCTCACTCCCATTCACTTACTTTTGGCCCAGTTTATCACCACTGGGCAAGTAAAGCACATGATTAGAAGTCTCAGTGGTATATTACCTGGGTTCAATTTCCCATTCCCCAATTTACCAGTTGTGTAATCTTAGGCAAATTATTTCACTTGCTGTACCTCAGTTTCTCTATCTGTAAAATGGACATAACACTGAGACACAGAATGGTGAGTTCGGACTTTCATTGTCCTATGAAGAGGTTCTTGTCCTACGAAGTTTGAAGAATAAAATTCAGACTAAAAGATGTTTAGCAAAACTGTGGAAGTTTATTTTAAGTGTATACAAACTCCCCCTGGAAAAGGGACCCCAAATGGGAAAAACTGCTCTCTCTCTAAAATGGGGGAAAATCTAATCCTGAGTCTCTCTGTCTCTGGGTTTATAAATGCTGTGAGCTCTTTGGCATTCTACTTTCTAATTGGATCCTTCCTTAATTCATATCCACTTGTGCTTTTCTAATTGGCTACTTTCCTGCATGGTATCAGTTTCAAAGTCTTAAAGCTCACAGGTCTCTTCCCCCTTCTCCTTCCTCTTATCTTGTAACATTCCTGTTCCTCTTATCTTGTAACATTCCTCCATCCTCTGTGAATGTAAGATAAGCAATCTGGCAGCTCGGAGCTGTCTCTGCTCATTATGTATGCCTTCCTCTCCCACTGACCCCACTTCCCTAAAATTGTGTATCATGTCCCTAAAATTCCTTTCAATATCAGTATCACCTCATGAAGTTACAAAAACTAAATGAGCCTGGCTCACTGGTTGAGCATTAACTGATGAACCAGGAGGTTGTATTTTAATTCCTGATCAGGGCACATGCCTGGATTTCGGGCTTGATCCCCAATAGGGGGAATGTGCAAGAGGTGGCCAATCGATGATACTCTTTCATCATTAATGTTTCTATCTCTCTCTCCAAACCCCCCCCCCCCCCAAAACCCCACAAAACCCTAAATGAGATAATGCATGTAAAGAGCTGCCTGGGGTGGCCAGAGTAAGCACTTACACAGTTGGCTCATAGTATCAGATATGACTATAAATTAACTTTGGTATCCATAACAGTCTAAGAACTGAGAAATCACTTAAAGATACTAATGCAAAACTAGTTGCTTTGAAAACACAGTTGAGTTCCATAAATGGTACTACATAGTTATCTAAGACTTAAATGTTTTAAAAGTTTGAACGACTATCATAGAAATAGGCAGCAAGACAAAACATACACTTTCATTGATATGTTATTCTTCTGGTCAAGGTTTAAATATCCAGTAGCCTTCATTTTATAAATTTTTAAATCCAAAATTCTCAAGCACCATAAAGAACCATAAACCACAATTACAATACAGGAAAATCTAACTACAGAAAATACCTTTCCAGGTGTTTACCTCCAGATATTTGTATTTTCCCATAAGACTGTTCAGAACTCTGTCATCTAACCTTCACTTCATTGACTTATCACAATTCCCCCATGCCCTTTTTGTAAAACACATTTAAGGGCCCTATCCGGTTTGGCTCAGTGGATAGAGCATCAGCCTTTGGACTGAAGGGTCCCAGGTTCGATTCAAGTCAAGGGCATGTACCTTGGTTGTGGGCACATCCCCAGTAGCGAGTGTGCAGGAGGCAGCTGAATCGATGTTTCTCTCTCATTGATGTTTTTCTCTCATCGATATTTCTAACTCTCCATCCCTCTCCTTCTGCCTTCCTCTCTGTAAAAACTCAATAAAATATATTTAAAAAAACACAAAACACATTTAAGGCAGTATGGTCCATTGAGATCCATTCTAACCATGAGGTGGCCATGCTTGTCCCCAGAAATCAGTGTTTTTTTTAAAAAAAAACAAAAATAGGCCAAATGGAGTTACTTTTACTAAGCTATGTCACCAAACCAACACTTAATAACTAACCTAACTGTAGTTTCAGGAGTGGAATTTTAAGCTGTTTTGGCATTTCCTATCAGCACTACTGAGATAATCTGCCTTCCCTAAGTAAAGGTATCCTTGCCTGAAATAATCTAATCTTTTAACTTCGTAGTCCCATCCTCTTTTTGCCTATAAAAACTTTCTATTTTGCCCTGGCCAGCGTGGCTCATTTGGTTGAGAGTTGTCTTGTACACCAGGGTTTGAGTCCTGATTATGGCACATTACCCAGGTTTCCAGTTCAATCCCTGACAGGAGGCAACCCACCCATGTTTCTTTCTCACAAATGAAGTCTCTCTCTCCCTTCCTCTAAAATCAATACAAAGAAAACCCCCACAAACTTTCCATTTTGTATAACACCTGAAACTCCCTTCTAGCTGCTGGATAGAATGCTGCCTAATTCATGAATCACTTAATAAAGCCAATTAAAGCTTCAAATATACTGGGATGAATTTTTTTAAGGAAGGGGAAGAGAAAGAGAAACATGGATGTGAGAGGGATACATCAATTGGTTGCCTCCCTTACCTGTCCCAACCTGGGTGGAACCTGCAACCTAAGTCAAAACCTAACTGGGATTTGAACCCAAGACCTTCTGGTGCATAGGATGCCCCTCCAACCTGAGCCACAGTGGCCAGGGCATTACTGGGTTGAATTTCATTCTTTAACGTGAGTTGTTTTTATTAGATTCATATAACATATATAAATGATACTTAATAAGACTGCAATGAGAGTGGCTTTGTTCTTATGAAAATGAGGAAGGGTGCTTGGAAAAGACACAATAAGAGGCCATCTCTAAAAATAAATCCCTTGTGTGGTCAAAACCTGAAGGATTCTATGATCAGATTGTTCTGCAAATGTCTTACATTTTGTTGATATTGACTTAAAAAATCAACATTGTTCAAAAGGAAAAATTACAGGCGTGGCTTACAAAAGAAAGTCATTTTGATATTCTAATCAATGCCATGCTCAAAACTAAAGTCTTGATGCTTCATAAAAAAAATTGACAAAGGGCCTGGCCGGTGTGGTTCAGGGGTTAAGTGTCTACCCAGGAACCAAGAAGTCAAGGTTTGATTCCAGGTCAATCTCAGTCGGGGGTATGCAGGAGGCAGCCATCAATGATTCTCTATCATCATTGATGTTTCTATCTCTCTTTTCCTCTCCCTTCCTCTCTATGAAATCAATAAAACCATTAATACTTTTTTAAAAAAATGAAAGTGAATGTACTTTTACATGTTTAGTGTTCAAATAAAATATTAATGATATATGCTTAAATGATTTTTCTATGATTCCCTATTAAATTAACTATCTTCATATTTATGTCAGAAGGTTTCTACTCCATTAATATAATTTATGTCTAAATTCAATCCAAAATTTCCTCTACTAAATTGAAACACTAAACATTTTTTACATTAATGTAGCATACAAGAAGCTTTGCTTTGTTTTACTAACTTCAAACATATATACCCATCTAGTTTCCTTTGAATTAGAAGCAGTTCACAGCACTTACCTGAAAAGTTTTGGTAAATTATTCTAATTTTAGAAACCTATGAAAATATGAAGGCCAAAGCAACTAGAAAATAATAGAAAGAAAAAACAAAAAACATAGAATGTAATGTTTTTAGCACAAAATTAATCATCCACATACCTGTTTTTGATGTGATAATATATTGCGAGAGCTACACTGTAAAATAAAATGCAATTCAATGTTTCATAAGCATATTCAAATGTTATGTATTATCTGACATTAGTCTGATATTTAAGTAAAAGTCAAACAATCCATCTGAACAGTCCCATTTAAGTCAGAATGCTGATTTAAAAAATGATCTCTTTAAAGTAAATCAATCTGGTACTCATTCCTAGAAATTATTAAATCTTGTTTCAGAAATACTGCAACTTCAAGTGCTATTTAAAAATTTCTCTTACTATCTGAAATCTTAAGCTTTCCTCACTTGTAAAACACAAGCATTATGTACAAATACAGGTGGTACAAATTAAACACCTTTAGAAATCTCCAAATCAGTACTTACTATTTTAGAAAAGTAGTGGTTTCTTTGTAACCACCAGAAAAATGTGACTATCACTCACAGGGGTTTGATATTTTCTCCCTTAAATCAATAACCTCTTGACAACCGGTCTACTTATTCATTCACTTGCTGAAATGGTACTGCAACTACTATTTGTTATATGTTCTTCAAATTTTATTTTACATTTTAAAAGATCTTAATTTAATGAAGTCATTTCCCCTTTCTGATTATAAAATGCATTATATCCATAAGATGAAAATTTTAGAAAACATAGAAAGTATAAATAAAAATAATCTTTTTACCCAAAGATGACTATTAGCTTGAGACACATAGATTCTATACATTATATGTGTAAATAAATAGGTTTGTGTCCCACTTTTATTTTCAATAACATTTTCCTTACAATTAAAAATATTTAAATACATGATTTTAAATGGCTATGCTTTATCATATAGTTGCTGAATATTGTTTCTAATGCTTTGCAATTATAACTAACAGCATAATAAATATTCTCAGAGATAAATGTGTGCAACCTGTGTACATTATTTCCATAAGAGAACATCTTGTAATTGTAATTACTCAATCTAAAGTCATAATAATTGTAAGGCTCCCCACATACACTAACAAATATCTTTGCAAAAAAACCTATACCAGTATACTTCCCCACCAGTGTCTGTTTCACCTCACCCTTGCTAACACTCACCTTATATGTTTTAACAAAATGTTTTCTAACAGGGTAGGTTAAAAAGTGGTGTACTGTTTTCAATTTGAGTTTCTTTGAGAACCTATCAAGTTGGCAGGGTTATTCCTATCAACTGGATATTTTTTTAAAATTTCCTCTTTTGTAAACTGACTAGCTCCTTTCACTATTTTATTTTTTATTTGCTTCTACCACTAATTTTTTTAACTCTAAAATTTACTGAAGAGGCCAAAATTCAGTTTTTTAAGCTACTAAGAACAATGGTAATAAGTCTTATCAGATTGTGTTCTGGGTCTCAGAACACAGAAACTGCCATCCAAGACACCTACTTAGAACCTTAGGCATGCATGCTGGATTCCACTAGCTCAGAGGTTTACCAATAACTTAACATGACAATAGCCAATCTCACTGTATCACAAGAAAATTTATTTTCCTCCAAATCTCTTTTCAGATCTATTCATTCAAATAATTTTAGCTAGTTTTTAAAAATATTCAGGAGCAAAGAGTAATATATTCTCTTCTAATATTTTGAAAAGAATCTAAATTCATGAAAGAATTGTAATTGAAGTAAAAAGGTTTCAGAATTTTAAAAAAATAATATAGCTTTCAAAGTGCTTTCACATACATGAAAAAATACATGTAACTGATTCTATTTTACAAATGAGAAAATTTGGGCTCAGACACCAGATGCCAGGATTTCTGACTTGGATAATAGTTTTGTGCCCTTTCATTCTCCCATAATGCACCAGGAAAAAAGGGAAGAAATTACTGTTTTATTCTTACTGTAGTGATTGCTCTTCTAATCTAATGTTAAGATTTAAGCTGAATGCTTCCTACCATTGGGCTTGAAGTGATTAGTCACTCTGATTGAGGGGAAAAAATGGTTCTTGTTTTCCCTGGGTGGGAATATGACACAAGAAAACTATCACTACACTGGAAATCAAAGCAACCTGGGTTAAAATCTGGCTCCTTCATTTATTATAGTTCATTTCTCAGAGCCTTCATTTCCTCATTTATAAAATTAGGACAATTTAATCTATATCACAAAGTTGTTATTATAACCAAATATAAAAGCACTATCTCAAAGTTCTAAAACTAAAATTATTATTGTGATTCCCCTATCAATATTTCCATCTCAAGAGGTCTACTGTTTTCTGTAGATAGAGTGAAAATTTTCAGGGACCCAAACCCCCAGAGCCAAAAACAAGATAGGACATTATTGTGGCCTCAGACTTCCAAGAAGAATAGAGCCACTCTGAAGGAGAATTTCTACTCCAGGTCATATCCTAAAAAGCGAGAAAATCAAGCTGAGAATGCATGTACAGTCCAGCTCCATGGGGCAGTTTCATTGGTTAACTTGAAAGAAAATGATTGCTGGGGGCAAAAAGGCAGTCCAGCTGAAAACTTAGTCAATTCGGGTGTCAATCTCCGCTCCAAATGTCTAGCTTTGGAGGCCTAGTCAGTACTGCCACATCTTCAGAAATGGGTGAGGTTTCACTGAAAATGGGCAGGGGCCAAACCAGAAGTATATTTGGATCAAAGGTTTTACTTAAATGCTTTTGCCACGTAACTAAGAGGAAAGAAATGCTATTTTCTTGACCAAGAAAACAGAATAGATTGTAATAATTGGCACTGTACTTGTCTTACTTCTTACCTAGAACTAAATCAACAAAGCATGTGAGGATCCTAAGACATCTAAAAATCAAGAAGTGCTGAACCACAGAGATAAAGACAGGTGGGTAAATAGTGCTCTCTGATGCTCAAAGGCCCAGGGCCATGCACTACTTGCCAGTTGTGTAAATGTGCCCCCTCCCCCAACACCTTTTCCTTGATCATCATCCCTTTGCTCCTTATAGAATTTGGGAGAGGGAATGGTTGGTGAATACTAACTTTAGATCATAGCTGTTGGTATTTAGGGGAAAGATAGGAAAACAAAATTCTCCAACAAGAAATCATGCCTATGGCCGGGATGGTATGGCTCAGTTGGTTGAGCGTCATCCCATGCACCAAGAGATGGTGGGCTCAATTCCTGGTCAGGGCACATGCCTTGCAGGAGGCAGCAGATCAAATGCTTCTCTCTCTCTCTCTCCCCCTCTCCCTTCTCTCTCTCTCTCGCTCTCTCTAGCAGATCAATGCTTCTCTCTCTCTCTCTCTCTCTCTCTCTCTCTCTCTCTCTCTCTCTCTCTATCAATTTATAAAAATATTAAAGAGGAAAAAAACACACACGCCTGGGGGGGGGGGGAATGAACAGAGAGAGGGCCCAAACTTTTTATCTTTAGGCTTTTCTTTCATTGTTGGAATAGCACCCAACCCTCCCCCCACTCAGTAAAATAAAATTTGTAAATGTGTTTGCTCATTTTGGTATTTCGCCAATTTACAGAATTTTCTTTTAAAAATAAGAATATAAATTGGTTTTTTTTTCAAAGAAACAAAAGAATTTTCTCAAAGAAACAAAAGAATACTTAGTTTTCAAGAAGCAAGTTCAGCCCACAAATGCTCAACATGTCCACAATGAAGTTAAACTACTATTGTATTAGTGAGTGTGTAACCAAATGTCTAGGGGGAGGGAGGCAAGACAGGAATATGATAGGGTTTAAGAAAAATTTTAGAAGATGATAGCATTCAGACATAGCATCTTCCCTACCCCCTTGTATTTTCAGGGCTCCAAGGTCCAACATGTACATTTTTTAAAACAGGGCACTTTTTAAAACAATTAAGCTACTGACTAAAAGAATATGAAATTTGGGTGGTGCAGAGAAAATGTCTTTTGGATCAGGGAAGCCACAGTATCCACACTGCTTTGTCTCAAGTCAGCCTTCTTAACTGGTCTAGCTTTTCAGTTTCTTTCTCTTAACTGAATTAACCTACAGTTTACTTAAAATATTTTATTTAAGACTTTCAAGGGAACTTTAGGGAGAAGAAAACAGCTGACCACTTATATCAGGGGCCCTTAACCTTGGCTGCCTATTACCGTGTTTCCCCGAAAATAAAACCTACTTACAGGTTTCCTTCTGAGTGAAATATAAGGCATCCCCCCAAAAATAAGCCCCCACCCCCCTTCCCAGGCTAAACATGAGAGATTTGGTCCACTGATTCTAAAAGAAATAGAGTCACAAGAAATTCACCAGGAAATTCAGGAATTGGATTGTTATGATGATGTTCCGAAGATGATGACATGATTGTCACTGAATAACTGAGTAAATTCTTGATACTGTAGGATTCACAGTTTGTCTGGTTTGTGTTGACAACTACCGTACTACCATACCGTATACAGGTAATACATTTCCTTTATTTTCATTTAACAATAAATATGTACCGTATTCTTCTTCATAGAAAAATAAGACATCCCCTGAAAATAAGACCTAGCACATCTTTGGAGCAAAAATTAATATAAGACACTGTCTTATTTTTGGGGAAACAGGGTAGAATCTCCAAGCGGGGTTAAAAATCCATACATTGGATCTGTGTGGTGAGACATCAAACGTCAGTGTGTTTTTAATCTCCCAGGTGACTCCCAGGCACAGCCAGAGCGGATTCCACTGATTTAAATGATGCATAGTTGTAACTTAAGTGATTGCACCTCCCAGACTTGTCACTAAAATATTAAATTGTCACCCAGTTTCCTTGCCCACTCCTAAGTATCCATGTTACAACCAGTGGCGATTTTAAGTCATCCTAGGATGAACCACTGAGCAACTGATTCAGATCCATCTGTACATCCCAGGAGTTCCCACTGGCCCTAAAGGGGAGGCTGTCCCACTCCTCTGCCTTGCTCTCCCCATGAAGATGATTCCAGGATTAAAGGGAGTTAGTGGCTTTCGCTTTGGGCTCCAAAGCTTGAGCAGATGCCAACAGCCACATAGTGTGTGGATGTTCAGGGCTTTCCACTCCTCTCCACAACTGCTCATCATTTACTCTAGGAAACGCTATACTTCCCATTTCCCAGCAATAAGGAAAGAAGGCTCAGGGAAAGAAGTGGCTCATAGTCACACCTCTTCCCATCTATAGTAGCTGACTTTTGGGGTTTATGCCCACTCTCATTTACCACGCCCTTAACACCAAGGTAATGAAAGAAGCCACATTTCCATTTAGAACCTGGAAATACCAACCCCGCAGCAGAGAAGGCAGTCTCTCTCCAAGTGAACAAACTTCCACCTTCCTCGTGGAGTGAACCCTGTCCACAGAAGACCATGATAGTCCCCACTGCTTGATTGAGGCTGTGCATGTGGCAACATTCAGAACGGGGCTTCTAAGCCTAAAAACCTGCACACTGAGATAGAATACTTCCTATTTAGCAATGTAAACACTTACCTCAAACACCACTATGCACTATTGTTAAATGTGTATTTTCTTAAGTACGGAGGTAAAATACCCCAGGTTTTTTATGGATGAGCTGAAGACCACAGATCCTGGCACATCAGAATCTCTGTGATCTCTTGTTATCAAAATGCTAGTGGGAACATTACAGGAAAAATCAGTGTTCCTTCCTTCTTACCTCCCATTTTTAAATATAAAAACTAAAGCCCAACGGGAAGGATTTTATATCAAGATTCACCTTCTTCCCTTAAACCCCACTTGAAAATATGATCCCCAAAAGAAGTCTTATCCAAACCCTCACCCCTCGGTAACAGAGCCGAGGTCAGAACTCAGATATTGATTGTGAGCAAGGATACTTTCAATTATGTCAGGCCTGCTTTCTACTGTAGCCCAAGTCTTAAAGTGGAATCCCATTTTATTTTGAAGGTAAAATATTAGCAGAGTCGTGCAAGGATAGCCTTAATAAAAAGTGGGAAGGTAGAAAGTATGCACAAAAATAAAAAATATGCTTTAATCTACATTTAAAATAATTTCAAATTTTGGTATTTCTATCTAACTGGTAATATTAACAAATATTTTGAACACCCCACATTTTAACTACCAAAATCACTTTTTAATAAGATTTTTCATAGTCAGTGTCCTCCTCCTACCAGACCTCACAACCAACCAATTAGGAATAAAAAAGAATTCATTTAAGCAAAAATCTGTATACCCACCATTTAATTGTATACTTGAGGTTTGGTTGACTGACTGTGCTATCATCTAGGAAAATAGTGGAGCAGGAGCTGTACTTCCTTGCTATTTGTCCTGGAGGATGCTGGAAAAACAATGGTGACAAGACAATAACAATTAATCAGGGCTCAAAATTCTTCCAAAGAATATCATCCCCTTAAACTTCAGACCAGATCACAAAGGAAAAATGTCTTAGCAAGAAATGTGAATACTATCAAGCACGAACAATATAAAAACACTTTCTCCTTACAATGAAATTCCTTGTTCTTCCACATATAGAAGTCACCACTCAAACCTCCCTCATAGGAAGAACAGTAATCTTGCTATCAAGCATCAGAGTGCAGAGTCCATAAAAATCACCTGCCCTGGAGCCTGTGTTAAACAAGTAGCCTGCTAATCACATTAACAAAAGCCTTTAATTAAGGGAATGTCCTGGTTTTATGCACAGCTCCACGGCACTCTATTCTTGGGGTAAAAGTATTTAGGGGCTATGGAAAATGCAGCCAACGTTAATTTAGAAACTCCTGGTTAATCTGCTTGAATTTCAAGAGGTGATGTTTAAAAAAAAAAAAAGTTTTATTTTGTTATGGCAAAGTTATCTTTTAAAGGGAAGATTATCTGATACTTTGCAAGAGTATCAATGGATGATCTTCAAATAATGTGTCTGTGCACTATGTAAGGAAGGCTTGTAAATTGAAGTTACAACTTGGATGTCAATTTTAATATGGCATTTTCATACCTATCTAATTCATCACAATATTCTCATTAAGACACCCTAAGGCACTAACATTTTTTTTTCTTTTTTTAAGCTCTTAAAATAATTACATTAAAATCATGTAAGACACACTAAAAATCAGAAACTAATAATAGCTATTAATATGGGGAGTAAGTTTTTAAAAAGTTCTTATAAAACTTTCCCTACTAGTGTAAAATCTACTACAAACAAAACTTCAACAGATATGTTTAACACAAATAATTTATTAACTAACAGATGTTTGGAGATACAATATAACTTTGGGAATAATCCCCCCAAAGAAGCAAAGGACAATAATAATTCACTTCTATTATTGTATAGTTTCAACTATTCTGACACAGATTTCTTCATGACTAAAATGTGAACAGAGCCAAGGAGTGGAGCTAAGTAATGCATTCTAGTTAGCACACACTACATCCCTTCACAATCTAAGAAACTACCATCCTGAGTTAGGGCAGGAACAACCCTAGGCACAAAGTCCCTAAGGTTCAGAAGATTAACTTGAAATCAGCCCTGCTGAGGGGCTGGCCAGTCCTGGTTTGGGATTGCCCAGATATAAGTCAGCCTGAGCCTCCAAACACTAAGGACTGGTGTGCCAAAGCCCCCACTTTGCCAGGATATGCCAACTCAACTTTTAAACTCTTACTTCTAAATTGAATTAAAATTGCAAGTATTAAATTATAAAAGATCTTCATTTTCAGCGGGTGTCATCACTCTAAAATATCATCTGGGCATTAAGTTATTTGTTGAAAGCCAGAACTACATGATTGATAGAATGTAAACCTCTTGATCTGAAATCTACACCACTAAAAAATAAATAAATAAATAGTGTTCTGAATACGTGTATTCATTTACAACTCACAAACCCATAGGAAGGTAAGTAGAATTCCCATTTAACAGACAAGTCAAGAGTCCAGAGAAATGAAGTAATGTTCCTAAGGTCAAATCTAAGACAACAGAGCTCAAAAGGGATAATTGTGTGACACCAAATCAATATGTTTATACCTATAGTTCTTCACTTATGCCATGTTCTCCCGGATCTTTTCATATAATACCCCAAAGGCCCTTTACCTTCTCTGACCCCACTCATCCTAGAACCTTGTTGACAGCCCTTGCTCAGGACTCCTTCCTGCCACCTGGGCTGAGTGTCCTCCCAGATGCTCTCAGGCTTTTGTGACTTCTGCAGCACTGATCAATCTCCGCTGCCATTTTCAGCTTATTCATCTCTGTTCTCTCTAGGATTTAGACTCCAAGTCTCTTGAAGATAGACTGGATAAATTTCTTGAATCGGCAAACACTAACAGCTTCATCCAGGGACCAGAGTGCCTTTTTGGCCCACACAACAGCCATCACATAGGAAGCTTGCCTCCAGAGGCAAGCTGGTCTTTGAGCTGGTCATGACAGCACAGCCTCAGCAGAAAGGAGCATGCCATGTCAAGCTGGCAAACAGAAGCAAGGGAGAACATAGCAAGGACCCATGCCACTGGTCAGTGAAATGCTGACATGCTTAGGACACACCTCAGTGGAGCACTGGCTGGTTCTCTGCAGGGAATTAATTAATATGGACAACACATTCCAAGACAAGATGAGCTAGAACATGGTTGGAGTCAGAAAGTCTAGAGTTCAGGACGTAGCTCTGCCACTGATTAGCTATGAGAAACATTCTATTAACAAAAACACCTGGCCTTGCATTCTTTAACAATGTCAACAGCATGAAAGAGAAAGTTTAAGGGTCTCTCGAGATTAAAGGAGACCTAGGAGCACATCAACTAAATGCCAGATGTGATCCTGAATTAAAACCAGCACCAGATACCCGGCCAATGTGGCTCAGTGGTTGAACCAGGAAATCACGGTTCAATTCCTCGTCAGGGCATATACCCGGGTTGAGGGCTCCATCCCCTGTCTGGGGAGAGCATTGATATTTCTGTCTCTCTCTCCCTCTCCTTTCCTCTCTGAAATAAAAATCATATAAAAAAGCCAGTACCAGAGAATATCATGCTACACAGGACATTATGGGACCACTTAATTTAAACAACGAATATGAACAATTAAAAAAAAAGTATCAATGTTAAACTCTTGATTTTGATAACATTGATAATATTGTGTTTACACAGAAAATATCCTTGTCTTATGAAATACAGTGAAGAGATTGGGAAGTAAAGTGCAGAATAAAGGCAAATTACTCCAAACAATTCAGAAAAAAATAATATAAGAAATGTGATCAGATAATGAGGTAAAAATGATAAAACACTGGTGAATCTAGGTAAAGAATAAATGGGAAACTTCTATATTATTATTAAACTGTTCCATAAATTTGAAATTTTTCCAAATAAAAGTTAATAGCATATATTAAGTAAAAGAACAAAGTATAACACAGATGATCTGATTAAAGCCTTTACTTAATAAGTAAGGGTAGAAGAGTCTGATTCTTAGAGGGCTTTTCTGACAAAGTCCTTGTTGCTTCTCAGACTGATTTTTTCTCTTTCCTTTCTCTGCTCTAGAAGTCCCTAAGAAAGGTGATGAAGTTGAAAACTGAGAAGTTAAGGGAGCAATAAAGCAAAAAATAAAATGACATAGTGAGAAGGGTGAGGCGTCCATAAAAGGCCTATTGAGCTCACATGAGGAAAAGATGGGTCCCTCTACTCTCAGCAAAAAACGAAGGGACAGGGAAGCCACAGATGAGGTCAAATTAGAACTGCTCCTTCTCACAGCAGAGTCTCAGATCAGGTACCTTGTTCAAGAATCTGTGCTGGCTGATTCAGAGATAAAATCCTCAGACCACACACAAAAGACAAGGGCTTCAAACACAGGAACTCCCACTGAGAACAGGCATTTTGTAGGACAAGTCATCAAATCAGTTCAGTGACCTTCCCTTGGGTGCCTTAACAAGGACAATGTATTTTAATAGTTTTCCAAATAATTCCACAATTTATATTACGCTCTATTTGTGCCTCATAACAAGAGTGATAGAATGAAGTGTAATAGGAAAGCATGAGACAAGGAAAAGCCTTCCACAGATGTAACCAGACACTCAAGAAACTGACATCTGTATCAACATTTTAAAATGAATAGCATTATAACCTCTAGCCAGGCTCACCAAGAAGCAAAAAGAGAGGACTCAAATAAACAAAATCAGAAATGAAAGATGTGTAGTAACAACCGATCCCACAGAAATACAAACAATTATGAAAAGATACTAGGACCAATTCTATTCCAACAAAAAGGACAACCTAGATGAAATGGACATATTCTTAGAAAAATACAAGCTCCCAAAACTCAACCAAGAAGAATAAAAAAATCTGAATAGGCTGCTAATTACCGAATAAATTGAAACAGAGATAAAAAACCCAGCAACAAAAGCCCTGGTCTGGACCGCTTTACAGGAGAGTTCTACCAAGCATTCAAAGAATTAAAACCTATCCTTCTCAGACTATGCCAAAAAATTCAAGAGGAAGACACACTCCCAAGCTCTTTCTATGAAGCCAGCATTACCTAATCCCAAAACCAGATAAAGACACCACAAGAGAGGGAGAGGGAGGGGAGGGGGGAGGGGGAGGGGGAGGGGGAGGGGAGGGGAGGGGAGGGGAGGGGAGGAGAAGAGAGGAAGAGAGAGAGAGAGAGAGAGAGAGGGGGAGGGAGGGAGGGAGGGGGGGAGGGGGGGAGGGAGGGAGGGCGGGGGAAGAGAACAGGCCAATATCCTTGACGAACACAGATGCTAAAATCATCAACAAAATTCTAGCAAATCTGATTCAGCAATACATTAGAAAGATCATACACCATGACCCAGTGAGATTTATTCCAGGGATGCAAGGATGATACATCTGCAAATAAATAAATGTGATACATGACATAAACAAACTGAGAGACAAAAATCACATAATCATATCAATTGATGCAGATAAAGCGTTTGACAAAATCCAACACCCTTTCTTGATAAAATCTCTCAGCAAAGTGGGAATAGAGGGGTCATACCTCAACATAATAAAAGCCCTATATCAGTGTTTTTCAACCTTTTTTGGGCAAAGGCACACTTGTTTCATAAAAAAAATCATGAGGCACACCACCATTAGAAAATGTTAAAAAATTTAACTCTGTGCCTATATTGACTATATATAAAGTAATTCTCTTGAATAGGAATCAAATAAACACAAAGAAAGTATTTTATAATTACTTTATTATGAAATATTAAGTAAACAAAATAGTGAAAAATTATAAAATTCTTGTCTCGTCTGCACCTACGGCACACCAGGCAACATCTCGCGGCACACTAGTGTGCCTCGGAACAGCGGTTGAAAAACGCTGCCCTATATGACAAACATACAGCCAACATCATACTCAATAGGCAAAAACTAAACCCCATTTCCCCTAAGAACAGTAACAAGACAAGGATGCCCACATTCACCACTCCTGTTCAACACAGAACTAGGTACTAGCCATAGAGATCAGACAAAAAGAAATAAAAGACATCCAAACTAGAAAAGAAGAAGTAAAATTGTCCTTATTTGCAGATGACATATACTATACATAGAAAACCCAAAGACACTATCAAAAGACTACTAGACCTAATAAATGAATTTGGCAATGTTGCAGGATACAAAATTAATTAGAAATCTATGGCCTTTTTATATGCCAATAATGAATTCACAGAAAGAGAAATGAAAAAAAAAAATCCCATTTACTATTGCACCAAAAAATTAAGATACCTAGGAATAAACTTAACCAAGGACATATATGACCTGTACTCAGAAAACTACAGGACATTGAAAAAAGAAATAGAGGAAGACATAAATAAATGGAAGAACTAATATGTACATGGATTGGTGGAATCAACATCATTAAAATGTCCATACTACCTAAAGCAATCTATAGATTCAATGTAATACCTATTAAAATACCAATGGCATATTTCAAAGCTCTAGAAAAAACTCTTCAAAAATTCATCTGGAATAAAAATAAAAAATAAAAAAATAGCCACAGCTGTCCTGAGAAAGAACAACAAAGTTGGAGGGATCACAATACCAGAAATCAAACTATATTACCAAGCCACGGTTCTCAAAACTGCCTAGTACTGGCACAAGAACAGACATATAGACCAATGGAACAGAATAGTGGACCCAGAAACTGACCCAAGCGATTATACTCAATTACCGTATTTTTCGGGCCATAAGATGCTCCGGACCATAAGACGCACCAGTTTTTAGAGAAGGGAAATGAAGAAAAAAATTCTGAAACAAATAGTGTCCTAAAATATTTTATGTGCATTAAAACCCAACATCACAGTCATAAACATATGTAATCAACCCTGTAAAGTAAACAGCAGCATTTAGAACCATTTTAGAGCCGGGCAAGCACCCAGAGACCACACAAGAGCCGGGCAAGTAAAAAAACTTTTTTTTTTAAGTATATGTGTAGGCTATATTTGGACCATAAGACGCAGGGACTTTTCCCCCCCACTTCTGGGGGAAAAAAGTGCGTCTTATGGTCTGAAAAATACGGTAATATTTGACAAAGAAGGTAAGAGCATAAAAAGGAGTCAAAACAGCCTCTTTAATAAACGGTGCTGGGAATTTGGTCAGATACATGCAAAAAAATGAAACCAGATAACCAAGTTATACCATACATAAAACAAACTGAAAATGACTAAAGAACTTGAATGTAAGATGGGAAACCATAAAAATCCTACAAGATTCCATAGGCAGCAAAATTGCAGACATATGAAGTAGCAATATCTTTACAGACACAGATCGTAGGGCAAGAGAGACTAAGGAGAAAATAAACAAATGGGACTACATCAAATGTATAGCATTATAATTTTTAGACATTCTGGGGGAAAAAATTAAGAAGAGAGGATATAACAAAACAGCACCCCCATATCAACATCCACTGTGTCAAGACAAATTAATGGTGTGGGAACCAAAATATCTAAGGTTTCTTAGTGAGGTGTGAAAATCCTGTACTCTATTATTGTTGCAACGTTCCTGTAAGCTTGAGATGACTTTAAAGTAAAAGTTGGATTCCTTAACTTTACTAAGTTTTAAAATCTTACTGAGATTAAAACCTTAACTGAAGCTTCTTTCACACCCTCCAAGCACACTTTATTGGTACTAACATAGCTACATAGCGATTGCTCAATAAATTAAAAATAAATCTCCCAAAGAGGCAAAAGCAAGGTTTAGAATTTTTTTTAAAGTATATATTTTTATTGATTTCAGAGAGGAAGGAAGAAAGAGAGATAGAAACATCAATGATGAGACAGAATCATTGATCGGCAGCTCCTGCATGCTGCTACTGGGGATTGAGTCCACAACCCAGGCATATGCCCTTGACCGGAATCAAACCCGATGCATTATCCACTGAGCCAAACAGGCTAGGGCGCAAGGTTTAAAATTTTTAAATTTCTTGTCCTGGCCAAGTAGTTGGTTAGAGCGTCATCCTGATACACAATGGTTGCAGGTTTGAACCCCCGTCAGTGCACATACAAGAATCAATGAATGGCCTAAACCAGTCTGGCTCAGTGGATAGAGCGTCAGTCTGCGGACTGAAAGGTCCCAGGTTCGATTCCCGTCAAGGGCATGTACATTGGTTGCAGGCATATCCCCAGTAGGGGGTATGCAGGAGGCAGCTGGTCGATGTTTCTCTCTTAACGATGTTTCCAGCTCTCTATCCCTCTCTCTTCCTCTCTGTAAAAATATAAATAAATATATCAATATATATATTTTAAAAAGAATCAATGAATGAATGCATAAATAAATGGAACAACAAATTGATGTCTCTCTTCCTCTCCCTCTCCTGTCTTCCCCAGCTACACCCTGCATTCCCTTCCTTCCTCCCTTTCTCTCATGAAATAAAAAATAAATAAAAAAATTTACATTTCAGTTCCTGGATCAAGCTTACTACATTCATTGACTTCTCTGACTGACCAAGTGAAGGGTATAAACAGAAAAGATCCCATTTTACCAGAAATCTGCTCCTTCCCCTTTCAAACATAGTAGGCAGAAATAAGCGCTCTAAAGCAGGATTCTCAAGTGAAGCAGAACAGAATACACTCCATCCTGGGAATTCTGGTCTTCATTATTTATGAAAAACTATATCCATACTCAAAATATCAGAAAGACTTTCATCAGCTCTGATACAGAACTTGGAGAATTAAATAGAATTTATCTATATTCTAATGGGCAATAACACTGACTTGTTTATATGGTGCTATAATTAGTTTGCATGTTAAAGTAATAATTAAGTTAGTTTAATTATTAAATTAATAATTAGCTTATTAATTTCTTCGCAATGGTATTTTGTCTACATTTTCAAAGGGCAGGGAAGATAATATTACAGCTTTAAGACTTTCTAACACACAGCTTCGATGCCAAGTACTTCAAGATCTATAAATACTTAAATGCAGATTGTCTAGAAATCCTTAGACAAACCCTTGTAAGGTCAAATACTCATTCTTGGTTTTCAGTATGAGAATTTATAGCTTACTTATTTTGGTAATTTACCTCCTTCATCATTCCATACCCCATAGAGTTTTTTCTAAAGAGAGGCACGTATGTAGACGGACAGAAAGGGATGGCTATAACGTTCCTGAACTCCACCCTCCACACTTCACAGGAGTGCAAGCTGGAGCACTATGGTGGGTGCGAGTGGAGGAGAAGGGGAGTGCACATGGAACCAGCCAGCCATACATGCTGCTCAAGAAAGAAGGATAAATGATCTTAATGAAACGCTTTATGCCTGGAAGAAGGGGAGGAATATACCGCTCAGAATGGCCAAAAGTCTAGAACAAAGCTTTTAAAACTCTTTAAAATTAAAGTATTGTCAAGTGTATCATTCTTTGAGAATAAAAAGGACATTCAGGCACTATTGAACTTAATAAACAATAATTAGGAGAAGGTAAGTTATAGAAAAATATAGCCTCATAGAAAACAATTATGTGTTTAGTCAAATGAAACTGAGTTACAAAGAAAGAGTAATCTTGGGTAGGGATAGAAGAAAAAAAGGATCAGAAATTCAAAAGAAGTAGCTTTCATTTGGGCCCATGTGGTGTTTGCTGTGGTATTATTCACACATCTTCCCATAAATAACATCAGTCTGTGGCTTCTGGAAAAACATTTGAGACATTGGATAAATACCAGCCATGCTTGTCCAATTGCAAACCATAAGGACACTGCCATATTCTTCACATTCTCCCAAGTATCAACAAAATGCATGAAACCTTTTCACTCATCCCAGACACAGTTATTTAAGTTCTCTTGACTATACAGTCATTCTGAAGGACACAGGCACAATTTCACTTACATGGTTAATGAAGAGACTCTTGCGTTTTTCTCTCACTGTGAAAACAAAAGATGCAACAAAAATGTTACATGACTATATGCCAACCCCTTACAGGTCACCAAGGACTAGCCCTCTGTGTCACGATCCCATCCTTCCACCAACCAACATATTAAGAATATGTAACCTGCACAACAGAGATCTGAACTTGGTTAACAAAGCAAAATATATACCCACTTAAATTATGGTATGCGAACAAAGTAAATGTAGGTGTAATTAACAGAATAAAATTTCAATTATAATGTAATTAACTAAATAAAATATCAATTAGCAAATCTTATAAAACTTGTACACATCCATTAATTTAATATAATTAACAAATAATAGGACTACTGATTTCTAACCTGAGCAGACCTGCAAGGTGCAGACACACAAAGGTCCATAGTATAGGTTCAAATATAAATAGTAATAACCATCACAGCATTAAGATACATGACAAAATATGCTAGAAGCATTATTAGCATGGAAACAATTCCTCTCCCTGATAGGTCCTGAGGAATAAAGCCGGGTTTCTGTCTAGGAGGCTTTCAACACCCTCTCCTTCATGAAGGCTGATAATATCACAATACAAAATACTGTCCTATCTCAGAGATGGAGACCATAGTGTTTATCAAAACAGAGGTCCTCAGCCTGAAATGTACATGGATGACAAGGAACCCTAAGAAGCTTTTTCATGACCATTTTATCATTGAACTTTGCATTTTCTTTCCTGAATACCTAGTTTTAAGGGTATATACTAATCAATCAACATATTTATCGAGTAGGTCATTGTAGAAGACAGCAAGGTTTCCTACAAAGAGATGAAATCCTGAGCCTCTAGGAATCAAGAATGTCACCTTGGACACAGCTGTTGGGTTGGGAGGGTAGAGGGCTTAAGCAAAAAAGAAAAAGGAAAAACTCATTGACAATGACAACAGTGGGGTGATGATTGCCAGGGTAAAAGGTGGAGGGTGGGAGGGCAGTGGAGGGAGGTCAAGAAGGGTATATGGAGGATAAATGGTGATAGATGCAGACTTAACTTGGGGTGGCGAATGCACAGATGATGTGCACCTGAAACCTGTATATTTTGTTAACCAGTGTCACCCCCAGTAAATTCAATAAAAAGGAATAAATAAATAAATAAATAATACAAAAAGGTGTTAAGTACAAATCCAGTTTACTATCTGAGGAGCCTTTGCCCTTCCTTCACCACCTAAGCACACCTCCCAAATGCAGATGCACTAGTTTCCATCCCTGTGAATTGTTGCTAGTTTGTGTTTAATTGAAGTCCTATCCTCGCTAAAATGATAAACCAGCCTGAGGGTACTCTTGAGAGCAAATGCCTGCAGGCCATTAGATGGACTCATTCACAGGCTCTGGACATACACAGAGTATGGGGCACCTGACTATACTTGAGGCTAAACCAGCACACTGGGAGTGCCCACATAACAACTGCAGACTACATCTGCTGGGCACAACGTGGAGAATGCATGATCACTTTTGACTTACTTGAAATAAGTATCCACAGGTGAAACATAACAAAAGAAATATGGGGAGCTATAAAAAGCACTAAGTTTTAACTTCCTTCCTGATACTATACACTTGGTTTGCATGTGCATGCATGTGTATCTGTGCATGCGTGTGTACATGTGCATGTTTCCCTTACATTATTTCAATACTAAATAATTATGCATCTAGTCAGGCTTGCTCTACCACATGTAGGTATGATGACATGATTTCTCATTGGCTATAAAGATCTGAGAACACTTTCTACACAGGCAGCAAATTCCATAGGCGACACTTAGCCCTTGCTGGGTACCCAACAATAGGTTTGTGCAGAGGTTTTGTTAGGGGGAAGGGTAAGTAATAGGAATGGTACCACAATTGTTTAAAGATTATTCACTTCACCTTACTAACTATAAATAAAGGGCTTTCTTACAGACCCTGGGAAACTGGAGGATGTGCTACAAGAAGAAAGACAAGGCTATAAAAAATAAGAGCCGCCTTGGAGCCTGGTTGGGTCCATTATTCAGAAAAGAGAATACATTTTGAGAACAAACCAAGGAAATGCTTTGATTTGGTTGCTGAGCCTGGACCCTGACCCCTTCTGGGAGTTTGCCTCTGAAATGCTGACTATTATCCTGTCCCAGGAATGGGCCGACCTGGGTTTTCACATCATAGAAAATTAACTACCTTGTTATTGGATTTCAAGATCCTGGGAGGGGACATAGGGACCACAGACCTTGTCGCCCTTATTCTGCCCGCTTACTCCTTGCAGGTAGCCCTTCTTCCTTATCCATATATAATCAGCTGGCTAGCAAGAGATGCTCAAGCAGAATTTTCAGGATGACCTGCTACTCTCCCATACTGATGGCATTATTAGAATAAGCACTCATACATGATTCAACCTTGTCTCTGCTTAATTTGGCTCAAGTAGTGACAGGTGACCGTACCCATTTTGTATCTGGTTTCAGCTCTAGAATCTCCCAATTATGGGAATCACCTCCAAAGATATACATGCCTCAAGAAATATTAGAGCTTCTTATATGAGTATTACTAAAAAGATTAAGAATTACTAGAGAGAGGAACCAAGATGGTGGCCTAGGTAAGTACCTAAGCTGCCGCCTCACCCAACAATTTAAAAAACAACAACTAAAATCAGAACGCACTTCATCCAAAAACACAGGAAAGCTGGCAGAGTGGGAAATCTACAGCTAGAAAGGAGAGAAACTCACGGATCTGATTAAGAGCCGCAGAGCACTGAGGTAGGGAGACGCTGGCGCGCAGAGAGGAAGTGCAGCCGAATGCCTGGCTGGCTGGAGAGAGGGGAGGAATTAACGATTGCACTGAACCCTTCTGACTGTACTGAACCCCAACCCTGGCTGAAACCCCATGGACCCAGGCTCATACGGGTGGAATCCGGACTGTAGAGAAAGGCACCCAGAGACTCAGAGACTGGGAGACGGGGGAGCTGGGAGCCGCAGTGAGCAGGGTCTAAAATCGCAAGTACTAGTAGAGGTCCGACCGCGGAGGTTGCCGAGGCCTCTCCATAATGGAAGGAGTCAGAAGCTCCAGACTACAGAGACCCAACCCAATTTCGGGCGAGCTCCTGTGGCACCCACGCTCTTGCACGGGGAATCAGGATGGTCAGGCGGAAACTCAGGCGAGCGCACAAGGGCAGGGCTGACGGGAAGCCAATACTGTCAGCTCAGCCTCGAGACTCCGCCCTATCCAAGCTGAGCACAGAGGCTTCTAAAATTTTGCAAGTCTGATCCTATAAGACTGTCTCCAATACAGAAGGTATCCCAGAGTAGACACAGCTGATACCCACATCCAACCACTTCCATGAACCCCAACTGGCCTTAAGGTCAATTCCTCCCAGGGATCTCAACAATAAAGACTTAGCTACAACAAGGCTGTACATGCAGTCCACAAAGGGGAGCACCAAGAGTGTCTACCTCAGGTAACTGAGGAGGCTGACCCACTAGGCCATATAGGACACCAAATACACAAAGCCAACTCTTGGAAGCAGCGAAAATGCCAAGACAAGGAAATAGATCTCAAACGAAAGAGATGGAGGATATAGAGCTCAAAACCACGGTTTTAAGGTTATTCAAGAATATCCTAGAAAAGGCCGATAAATTTCATGAGACCCAACTAAAAATTAAACATAAACTGACTAAATTGGAAAATATTATGCAGAGATCCAACAGCAGAATGGAGGTACACAAGAATCAGGTCAAAAACCTAAAAGACACTCCTCTGGAGAAGCAAGAAGAAAAGAGAATCCAGAAAACTGAAGGTAGTGTAAGGAGCCTCTGGGACAACTTCAAGCGTACCAACATTAGAATTATGGGGGTGCCAGAAGAAGAGAGAGTGCAAAATACTGAAATATACTTGAAGAAATAATATCAGAAAACTTCCCTCACCTGGTGAAAGAAATAGACTTACAAGTATAGGAAGCGTACAGAACCTCAAATAAGAGGAATCCAAAAAGGAACATTCCAAGACACATCATAATTAAAATGCCAAGGGCAAAAGACAAAAAGAGGATCTTACAAGCAGCAAGAGAAAAGCAGTTGGTTACCTATAAGGGAGCACCCATATGACTATCAGATGATTTCTCAACAGAAACTATGCAGGCCAGAGGGAGTGGCAAGAAATATTCAAAGTGATAAATAAGCGAGAACCTACAACCAAGATTACAGTATCCAGCAAAGTTATCATTCAGAATTGAAGGGCAGATAAAGAGTTTCATAGAAAAGAAAAAGTTAAAGGAGTTCATCACCACCAAACCAGTATTATTGATATATGAAATGCTGAAAGATATTATTTAAGAAGAGGAAGAAGATCAAGTGAATTAAAAATCTGAAAAACAGAATAAACTAGTGAATATAATCAGGGGCAAAGAAAGGGAGTGGGGATTGATAATTATCAGGGGGAAGGGGGTGTGGGGGTGCAGAAAGAGACTAGGTTAAAAATTGTCCTATGGATGAGGACAATGGCGGGGGGGGGGGGGGGGGGGGAGGATAAGGGCAGAGGAAGGGGCGGAACCAGGTGGAAGGGAGCTATGGGAAGGGGGGGGAAGGAGGAGAAACAATTGTAATAATTTGAGCAATAAAGATTTATTTAAAAAAAAAAGAATTACTAAAAATTGAGAGGATTAAAATATAGAATCATCAGTGTTTTGACTAAAAGTTTTAACAAGAAAGTATTAAAACAAACAAAAATAAAATCACAATACAGGAACAAGTAAGAATGTTGTGAAAGTGTATGCTATTCTTGTACAAGGATAACTTCTAAGGCAGTGGTCGGCAAACTGCAGCTTGTGAGCCACATGTGGCTCTTTGGCCCCTTGAGTGTGGCTCAGCATTAGAACCACTTCTTCAAAATAGACTCGGCAAGGCCAAAAACCGACTTCTGTGCATGGGCCACATAGTTTTGATAGCACTGTACATGCACGACCACAAGTGGTATTTTGTGGAAGAGACACACTCAAGGGGCCAAAGAGCTGCAAATG